ATTCCAATGAAAAAGTTTTGAGAATCGGTATAGCTACAAAAGTTACTTTTGTAAATTATAGTTGAACCTCAACCATCCATCTGCGAAGGTAGTGAAATTACAATAAAAACTCACTAAACTTTCGAAAATCGAAGAAACGGGAAACCACTGCGAGTGGTTTCCCGATTCTCCTATTCCCCAACAGAGATTTTCCTGGTGAGGTCACTTGATACACTTCGATCACCTAGATTACTCAGTGAGATGTTGGGTAGGGTCTCCTTAAAACAGTACAATTATTCCTTATAGATCTGGATGTCCGTTTCCTCATTTTCACAATGTTTACATATTGATCGCTCTCAAAAGTGACTTTCGTCTTTTTTTATGACGGTACACATGTCATGTCTCACAAGTCATGTCAGATGTCAATTTCAGTTTTTACAGCTTTGATTATTTCATGTCGAACAGAAAGACTTATTTTTGCTATCCATGCTTTCATCATTGGACATACCAACGCTGTATGAGCAAACAGAAAAGAAAGACAGCTAGTGTTTTTACTGTAACACAACTTAAATAGAAATACAAAAGACACAAATTCGGTCGACCGCAAAATTTTATATGAAACACATATGTGTGTGACTAGTTTTGGCACCATGGCCATCTTCAGACGCAATAGTAAGGAAGAAGTACCCTTTTCAAAGTTATAACTATATATACGACCTGATCAAAAGTTTTTTTGTCATGTAGATATTTTTCCAAAAAAAGAATTACTTCTTCTTTACTATTCTATTTGGAGATGACTATGTTGCCAAAAGTTATTAAATTTTGTTGTCGACCGACTTTGAGTTCGTTCTCTTTCTCCTTTTGGAAAATACTGGACCACTTTGAGCATGGAAGGTTTCCTTGACTTCACTAGTTTCATTATAGATTTTCCAACCATCAATTTCGAGTTCCGTTTCCGGAATGTATATGTGGCAGCAAATTATGAAAAAATTAAACTAGTAATTTTGAACTCAGTCCAATCCTCATGTTACGCCTATGATATGGACAGATATGGATCATTATTCTATTGTAGAATTCTGAATGGCTTGCGGTATTAACACCCTTTGGGGTGGTTGACAATACGTCGAAATTTGAAGTTTATGTTGTGGATCCAAAGTTTATTCGCTTGGATTGTCTTCAATGCTAACTGTTTGACTGGAATTATGTACCTGAATTGATCGATGGAGAGGTATAGATATATATGTAATTTGATTAATATATTGAATCTTTAATATATGGTTACTGTTGAATGCAGTGAAAAAAAATGAACATGTAATGAGGTTGTAAAATACAGTTCTTTCAATACTCCTGTACCACCAATACGCGGATTAAATATCTACTACCGATTTCTCAATAGTGTCAATTTCAACTACTTAAGGATGTTATCCCGTAGTTTCAAATGTCATCGCAACGTCGTCTAATGCCCTAACAACACGAGTACGTCCCAGGGAAGTCTTTCATTTTCTACGAGGACGTCCCTGGGATTTCCTGTGTCGGGACATGGTACATACTAGGGACGTCCCAGGGAAATCCGCTTTCCACAAAAAGAGGCATCCTAGGGATGTCCTTCTGGTACGTCCCTGGGATGTACCAAGTACGAAGAAACGATATCCCTAGGACGTCCCAAGGATATCCCAGGGACATCCCTTCGACAAAAGAAAAAAATGTAGATCGAGTACAAATTGAACCCGGGACCTTGGATTATCAGGCTTATCAGGCACGCATCTTACTCCATTGGCTATTGATGAGCCTCCTGAAGATTTATGTACTGAACAGATTTATAAACAGGACTTAACTACAGAAACCTGAATAAATACAACTTTCTTAGGATTTGGGTATAATTATTATATATTTCTTGGGTGTTCAAAAATGAGGGGCATTATGCATGTACGATTTCTGTTTGCGAAAAATGGTAATTTCTCAAGAAGTTCTGAAACTTTATTCTTTATTTTCATTACGATTATTTTCCGGAAGAAATACAAACATTTTCAAAAAAATGCAACTTGATACTTTGATGAAATTCAATGACTCTGATGTGAATGGATATCAGATATTCCAGGGACACGAATAGGATAACCTAGAGATGTACCAAGCGGAATGTCCACTGGACAACCACTGCGCGACATCCCCTGGATGCCCCAATCATGTCCTTGTACCGCGGGACAAAAAAGGGACGTACCTAGGACATCCCTGTGTTGTTAGGGTGGCTTTGGCGATCGTGAATTGGTTTGAGAATATCTCACCAATGTTTTCAAGACGATATGCAACATGCTCATTTTGAATCTGATGTTCCAACTCACCGAATGTTCAAATTTTGTTTCTGGCCATTATTATTACGTTCACAATAAATTGCCGATATGTTAGTAATAATGCACTGATATTTTCTCAATATAAGTGTGCTACATGGGATATATTATAGGAGCAATAGAGTTCAATATTACATCTCTTGGAAATGCTGAGATAATCCAATGGAACCGTTATGTTGAGATATCCAATATGTGATACTGAACGATTATTTCATTCATCTGAAAATTCACGCTTTTGATTGGTTGTAACAGCTGTATTGATAATCGAAAACACTATGTTATCGATTTTGTATTTCGGCACCTGATTGGCTACTTACTGTTTGAGTTTTTGTAGCGTTTTTGTACACTTCTATTCAAAACCCAATAGGCACTATCACAATTTGAATTGTCCTAACAATTATTATAAGACAATTCCAAATAATTATTGATTGAGCATGATTCGCATGATATAACCTAAAATAGGAATAATTTTTCAACCACGACTGACGTGACATCTCTACATCTCTCTCTTCTCACTCTCTATGATGGACGCTGCTTTATCCATTCAAAAAGTATGTTTGGAAACAATTCACAGAATTTTGTGAACAGCGAAATCATCAGCTAAACGAAAATACATCTGATGAAAGACTTGCCAATATTCTCACAGAATGGGCATTTAATATGCGGAAAACCGATGGCAGTGAGTATAAGGACATGGTAGTGAAAACTATTTGGAATAATACAGCTAAATTACTCCAAGAAAAATACTATCATGAATACAATCGAAAATTTGATCCATTCAAAGATATAACATTCGAAGTTGCTAGAAATGCCGAAAATACTGAAAGAAAACAACTACAAAATATTCCGGAAAAACGAAAAAAGTCATGTGTTTCATTTACATCGGAAGAATTGACACAAATTATCCAAAGTTGGGATGAAAATACTCCAAATGGATTACAAAGGAAACTGTATCATATTATAGCAGTGGAATTAGCTTGGCGGGGCGGTGAAGCATGCCGATGTTTGATTCATTATTTCAAGGAAGAAATAAATAACAAGGGAACACCAACTGGAAGACTGGAATATAACCCTATATTCGCGAAAACCGCACAAGGTGGATCAAAAAATATTGCAGAAAGTAAATGGCTTGTGTCAAATAAAGAAAATCAAGAAAATTGTCCAGTTCGTTTATTCAAGAAATTGATGTCAAAAAGGGGAGAGAACATTAAAACTGATCGACTATTTTTGACAGTTAATGGTAATTGGAATAAAGATCATAAAAATCCTTGGTTTAAAAATATGCCAATGGGTATAAATGAAATAAGTAAATGGACCAAATTGTCAGCTGAAAAGATCGGTTTAGATACAAAAAACGTGAAAATATCAAACCATTCAAACAGATCTACAGCTGTGAGTCAATTGGCAAGTTCTGGAATTGGGGAACAACAGATAATAAAAGTTACTGGGCACAGTAGTTCAATGTCATTGAAACCATATTCACAACTGAGCAAAGAACATCATGCTGATATAATATCAAACCTCAGAAAAGAAGATAATATGGATATATCCACGACGGTTGCATCTAGTAGTAGTAATGATGAATGTCAATATGTCAAAATAAATAATTGCAATAACTGTACATTCAATATAAATATTAACAATAAATAGGTAGTGAAAATGGTTTATTTTTCATTCATGAAATAATCTTGACAAATATAACACGTGTAATTGATGATTATCGAAAATTCCTTCTCTTTTTCGAAACAAATTGTGTTGCTTTTATAGGCAACCACACTCGCGCTATGCGCTCGTGTGGTTTCCAAGCAAAACAATTTGTTTCTCAAAATCGAAGGAATTTGTGTTTCGATAATCATCAATACACTTGTTGTATTACAAGCGATAATTATATTAACTGAATGATTTATTGAAAATGAAATGTAAAACATCATATGTGATCAATCATCGACATAAATGTATATCGACAAGACTGATTAGTACAGTGTGTATAGGACGAATTCAACCAATCGTGAAACTATGTGCGGACAAGTACACCGCATTTAACTAATGTACGCGAATCTGCATAGTCCCATTGAAACTATATGTTAACCTCATTGACATACGCAGTACGCACAATCATCATGTATCAATCAGCCAACTATTGGTACTTACATTAAACTATACGTTCATAGTGATAATGGGGTTGTACACTCTAATCGAATTCACGCCACTTACCTATTTTATATTGATCAGTCCATGTGTAAATAGTAGTTGATGCTATCAGTCCTTATTTAAAATCATCTAAAATACGTTTTTTCATTAATTGAAAATCAGAACCTTCGAAAAACGCCAGGTTTCGTGACGTCATCAACCTGCTGGCACGGAGAATAGCCACCGTTGCCAAATTTATAGCCAGTAATTACCTTATGAGATTCAATATCAACAATGACAGAGTATTTACGTTCGCAATAGACAATGTGGCGACCTGGTTCCATAATCACATAATGAATACTTATATACTTTGCAAGATGATGATTCAGTGTCAGTAATAATATCCTGATATTCCTTATAATGATCATGATTTTATTCAAACCCAAAACTTTTTTGTGGCTCTGGCAACAGCGCAATCGTCCAAATATCTGAAATATCAATAGAGAAGAAGAATTATTCTAACCTAACCTAACGTTAGTCTCGTCTGTCGATTGAAACTTCAAGACCTCTCAAAGTTCAAAAATAATTTTCAGAATATCTGATTCAGTTGTGCAATATGAGTAATAAGCTAGATTCGGGTTTTGTGAAAGCTTCATCTGGGAATTTACCCATTGTGGATAGTGAAATGGTGAATGAGTTTTATGCCGCACATATCGATTTCCTGAGTGCAGAAATGAGGAATCAGAAAACCAAACGGTATGTATACTCTTAGTTGTCATATTAATATTTATTCAGACAGGTAGATAAGTATTTTCTTCTAAGATTATAGTGGAATCATCATGATGATGAAAATTAAGTTGTATTTTCCATAATATTGCAAGCTTATTGTACAGGTTTTTGAATTTTCTTCTGCATACTTTGAAAATCTGAATAAATTGTAGGTATATAACCAATTTTCATTCATTATTCTTCAGTACCAAGTCAAGTCGTGCATGAATTCAAGTATCTAATGGAAAGAAAATATTTTAAGGGCTGCCAGAGAATGTTATGGAGATAATGCAGTGGAATATGTTCAAGTGAAACGCAATGGATCTCAATGTGTAGTGAAGGGAAACATCACACCAGAACATAAAATTCACAAGAAGGCATATGAGGTGATAGCTATAATAGATGAGGAAGAGAAAGTTGTATCAAAATCAAATTGTATGAGCTGTGCTGCTTCATTAGGTGAGTATGGAGATCAGTATATGTATCAATTTCTTTCATTATTTGAAGATCTATCTAATCAAAAATGGACAGGTGTAATGGCAGCAAGATGATCTACACACACTTCATATGAGGTACACTAGCAAGACAGGAACATCACAAAGGGCAGGCAGTGTATTGATATGTGTAGAAACTATTGTTTCTCAATACCAAGTGCATTATGATGAAACATGTTTTTGGTGAATAAGCAAAATTTCCACACAAAGATAAACACACATTCTTGTTGAAAAGGATTAACAGATAACTGTTATACAGGGTGTATCTAAATAACACAAAAAAAATGCAAGGGTTGATCCCTTGTGATATTTTAGTGAATAAAGTTCATTTAAACATATGTCTCAACTTGCTGCTTTTTGAGATACAGGATGTTGAAGTTGGAAGTATTGATTGTTTCTATTTATAACCCCCTTGATGTATAAGCTTTCATGGTGCCAAAATTCAGTATGGTTGGAGACTGACAAAGCTCCAAAATTTCAAAATGATTCTGATTGGGGTTATTGAGTAATCTCAATGGAAGTCTTGAAAACATTACAATAAAATTTGAAGTCAAATCGAATTTTTATTATTTTCTCAAAACTAGATACAAAAGTCACACATAGGATAAGAAAGTTGTTATTTCAATAGTTCAATCTAATGAGAATTTGAAACTCAGAAAAACCAGTGGTGTACAATGGCCTCGACAATGGCATTCATCATAAATATTGATAGGTGCTGCTAAATATGGAGAAAAAAATCTAGTGAGCTCACTAGAATTTTTCTCCATATTTAGCAGACAATTATTATTATCATTATTATTACATTCAATCTATTTCACAAAATATATGTTCAATTGCAATTTTATTTCAGTGTCATATTCAGTATTGTGAACAAAGATCTAATTTTGCTGTTTCACTGCTGCCTACCTTTGTTTGGGAATTTTATAATTTAATATTTAATAGCAACAACTTTTTATGATCTACTAACGTTTACAGTCACAGATCCACGACATCATGGAATATTGCTCCAATATGTGGGGATGAGCACCCAACCATATATGCTGATACTCTTAGATTATTTTCAGAAACGAGCCTCGAGAATAACGTAGGATAGTTGGCGACTCAACTCTTTTTTATGAATACTTCCATGGACAGCATTCAACAGAAACCTCGGCTAAATTGCCATCATCAGCAATACCAGTCAGACAAACTTAACAAGCTCTATCAGCATACATCTTTGCCGTCATCCTTGATACCACTCGTTTGTTCATCTTTAATCAATCTTCGGATTTCTTTACCTAAGGAAGTATTCCCAAGAACCTATATCCTCCTAAAGTTCTAAAAATTCAAAACTCCAATACACCATCTTTCCCTTGCTACCCAGAATGCATGATGTTCCATGAACACTTATCCCTTGCTACCTCAAGAAAGCTCCATGTTCCACAAACTACCCTTCCTTGCTCCCAAGCACTATGTTTTAGGAATATAATAAGTTTTCCGTTCATGGGATTCGAAAGTCAGCATAATAGTAGTAGTGTTTTATCAGGATCAAAAGTGGCAGCAGAGTCAATTTTGATCCTAATAAAAGGTGCTATTTTTTCTGCAACCGAAATAATCAATGTCTAATTAATAAAATACAAGTGAAACAAATCATCATTGTAACTCACTTGAACACTTCAACTTTAGCTCCTAGACACTAATAGTGTTGCCTAACATATTAATAATTTTATTGTGTCAGTAACAGAAACGTTAACGACAAGACCTACTTTTGGAACAAAAATTAACAACTTTTGAGTCGATTAAAAAAAAAATATATTTCTGAGAAATTGTGTTGAATTGGGTATCATATTGACAATTTATTACTGAGAATTTGTTGTGTTAAATTGAGTGTTCAAATTAAGAATTATTGATTTCATCACTATTAATAATTCAACTGAATTCAGATAATGCTTTCAGTTACACTTGAAAAAATTACTGTCAAATTTGACCTTAGTAATAATTACTAATAATTTTCATTCATTGTAAACCAGAGACATGCAAAATCACATCATGCTTCTGTTTCAGGTGGATGTAAACATGGTGTGGCATTTTTACTTTGGTTACATCGTAGAAGTGAAGAACCCTCTGTAACCGAAGTAAAATGCTACTGGAAAAAATCCAATTTGTCAAGGGTCACTGCTGCTGGAGAAGATATCAATGTGTTGTTGAAAACAAAGCATCCTGAGCTTGGTCCGAAAAACCCGACATTTTTTAAAAAAGTAATTTCATCTTTTCCAAATGCAACTGGTGGTTTATTTGACCTATACAAAGAACCAGAATTTTCCGAAACTTCTATATACCAAATAATGCTATTATTTAAAAGAGATTCCATAGACCCCAAAACCAAAACAGGAGATACATTTCTGTCATTTATGAAATCGATTATGACAAGAAGTGCATGCGAAGATGCTGAAAAAAAGACAAAAAAACAGTATAAAAGTAAAAAGTGGTTTGATTTGAGATTTGGAAGAATAACTGCTTCCAATGTATATGAGGCAGCACGCTGCAAAACTTTCACAGGTTCATTAACAGAAAAGATATTAGGGGCTTCACAACCATTAGAAACTGAGGCAGTGAAAAGGGGAATCCAGTTGGAGTCTTCAGTATTAGAAATTGTGAGGAAGAGAACAAATCTAGTAATAGAAGAATCTGGATTGTTACTGTCACCAGAACATCCAATTTTTGGGGCAACGCCGGATGGAATCACAAAAGAGCATGTTATTGAGGTGAAATGTCCATTCAGAGAAAAATCTGTAGAAAGATACATCTCTAATGGTATGGTGCAAAATAAGTATTACCACCAAATTCAAATGCAAATGTTGTTTTCCAAAAAACAAAAAGGATATTTTTGTGTTTCTTCTCCTCATTTTGAAGAGGATAAAGAAGTAACTATCACTGAAGTACAGTTTGATGAACAAAAAATATTAGAAATAATGGAGGCTGCCGAAATATTCTGGAAATCTGCTATATTTCCAATATTGTTCAAATAGTGGATGGATCTTTTCTATTCACCAATCAATGGAAGAAAAATCTCGATTTCTTTTTCGTTTTTTCTTTCGTTTTTTTCTGATGAAAATATGCTTATTATTTCTATATAAAGGGTGTGAATTTTAAAACTTGCAATGCAAATATCTTGTGAATTAAAAAAAGGTTAGAACAACGTCATTTGGCACAGAGGCTGAAGAGTTAGGGGGAACTAGAACCACCTTATTTCAGTGAAGGCATGATACACCCCAACATTAAAATGTCAAATGGCACTAAGTACCTCTTTTGTAATACCTGGAATGAAAAGGTTTCAATTAGAAGTATTCACCTGTACAAGAATTTTTTTTGATCCAACAAAGGGTGGCAGGAAAACATTTTCGAATAAATAAGTAAATTGTATTCTTTTGAATTGATATTTTTTTCATCATATGCTCAAAGTGCATTCCATTCAGTTCTGAACAATAGTAGGTACAATCGATTTTAACTTCCATTCTTGTCTTCGACAACGAATTATTGCAGAATGCAGATCTATTCCAAGAGATGTGTTCCACAATGTTAAAATGCAATTTGAAAATCGATTATACTATGGCTTTCAACAGAATGGAATGTATTTTCAACAACATATAATCTCCAGAAGTTCAAAAAAAAATCCAATACCTATCTCCTTTCCCTATCCTCCCTAGGAACGCACGATGTTCTTTGAACATTATAGGGATTCCCTTTCGTGCGCTCCAAGCGATAAAAAAAAATACAATTCATTTGCCGAAAATGTGCCAAATGGCGTTTTTCTAACTTTTTCATTTTGCGAGATATTGGAATTGAAAGTTTTCAAATTTACACCCTGTATCTTTAGTAAGGAGGAATCTGATGATTTGTCACAAAAGCTCACTACCTCTAAAAAATGTCACTAATTCAGAAACCTGAAAGAGAAATTCAAATGATGTTTCAAAAAATGTTTGAAGAAAAAAGAATATATTTTATTGACAGAAATGAAGAGGAAAAATACAAAAAATCTAGAGAAATGAATATTCTCATGAATATTTCACCTCATCCATTAACATACAGCCAATATTTATAATTAAAGTTAGTTGAAATGAATATATCAGTGTTTCAGTTCATCCCAAACACCCTTTCATTCCAAGGTCACTGACAATGTTACAATAAACTTTCATTCAGGTAATACAGAGTGAGTCAGTTTTTTGTAGCAAAACTTCAACAGAAGTTTACGAGGAAAGTATATTCATGAAAACATATGCCTAGGAGCTCTTTTTTCAGATATGTGATCATTCTGAGTATATACTATATATTTTTTGTATTCTTCAAGTTTTGCCACTAAGTTTCATTAACACATCTTATGAAAGCTTTGGATCATTCCAGGTCTTGTAGTGAATCATTGAGATATGTCAAATAGGATGTGTTCATAAAATAATAAGTTATAATCAGATGATTTGCCCCAAAATGTCACTGCTTCTTGGAGTTTTACTTTCAGAGAGCTTGAAAGAAAAATTCATTCATTCCCAAAAAATCTGGGATAATGAATATACCATCTTCTTGATCAACATAGAGACAGTATGTAATAGGTGTACCAAATTCCAATTAATCATTTCAAAAATTGTAGGAGAAAACTTGAAAAACATTCAGAAAATCACAAACTTCGACTGGCTGTATATTGGAAAAAAAAGCTCCCATAATGTTCATATGAACATTTTATATTGAAAACATGTGTTCTTCAAGCTGTTAAATCCTGCTACAAAAAATGACTCACCCTGTATAACAGCCTGAATCTCTGAAATTCAATTTATTATAGATTCCTGCATATTAACAAGAGCACATACTATGATAACAAGAAATGATAATAGTGACACTAAACTGTGGTGAACTCAAGAATGTGGTTCAAGTATTGAAAATTCACGTATTCTTCTAATAACTCTTTCAACATGTATTCTCAAAGATGCTATTATT